CCTTGGGATAGATTTACTTGAGACGAGCCATGCAACAAGCATCGGCCCCGATGAGAAGAATAGGATCCATCACAAAGCGTCCTCATAAGCAGAGAGGGCATGTTCTAAATCCCCCATCTGCGCCACAACTCAATCTAATGCAGCATTAGTGAGGGACTAGCAAGATGACGAACTTATCACACCTTTCAACAGGACCAGTAGCGGCGAGGGGCAGAAAGATACCAGGGGCGAGGAGGGAGAGGGACAAAAGTGAGCTAAACAAGGTGACTGGCCGCTGGTTGAGATAGTCATCAACAGAGTTCGGCGAACCAAGTCGCAGTGTCGAGCGAGGGACAGGAGAGGGGCCAAAGTGAGCTCATCAAGGTGACTGCTGGTTGAGATAGTTATCAACAGATTGCGGCGCTCCAGGGCCGCACAAATTATATCATGCTCAGTGCGTTGTCGTAAGGCGGGATACATCACTCACCGAGTGCGTTGTCGTAAGGCGGGATACATGATCTCTGCACAGATAGAGGCATGCCCTGGCGCATCAGATAGCATGCCCTGGCGCATCAGATATTGCCTTTTTGGGGGGACCGGCGTCAGGTACTGATATCCAGATGAGGTCAAGTTTCAAAGGTCCTCACCTGAATATGGTCAAGGGCTCGTCAGGATTGGCGCTCTTTGCCGGGCACGTGTAATCCTTGAGGTCTTTGCAATTTGTTTGTGCTGCCTTGCCCCCTTTGCCCTCTCGACGATAATTTGTGAGCCCACTCCCACCGAACATTCCTGTGACTCCAGACATGCCTTTGTTGCAGACTCGCTGGCCACGGCCCCCAACTCCAGGACGAAAACCGTTCTCTTCGGAGGAGTCGGCGATTCTCAGACAATACCTGGAAGATTTTCGTGTCAAAACGAAGGAAGAAAGAAAGAAGCTGCTGATGTATGAGGTATACAGACTCATGAAGGCCAAGGCACCCCCCCTGCTTACAGAGGAGCAGTGGAAGGAGAGGAAGACGGTGGGTGCTAGCTAGTCATACTGCTGCTCATTTGACGCTTTTGCCATAGAAGATCAAAGAGTGGTTTCAAAACCATGGAAGACGCATCAGGATGCCGAAGTTTGGATATGTCAAACTCATTTCCACCAGATATGTAGTTGCGCACCTGCGCCAGGAGCAAATACATGAGGTCGTG